ATGATCTTTGTATGTTTCGGTGGGCCCTTGTGAAGGATCTTCACACTGAAGGCTCCTCATGTTCTCAAGATTATTCAGGCAGTAAGCTGTGAGATGGATTTCTTTTTGGTTTCCCTTTTGTTTCAGAGAAAGCAACTGACTCTATGCTATATGGTTTCCCTTTTGTTGTTGAGCAAGCAACTAACTGTATCTCTCAAGCAATTTATTCATACATTTTGATTGGAAAGAGACAACAACCATTTGTTCTGCGACACTACTATCTGACAAGTACTCAATATTATACTAATCATCAATGCTATAGAAGTGTTCATCCATGAATAATGAGACTGAAGCCCATTTTAGGTTATGAGACTTTGTCCTGATTCCAGAGATGTACTAAATTCTGAAGTTTGTTGTATGACACTACTATCTGAGAAGCAGATTTTTTTGACACTTACTTGAGTGTATTGGATTGGGTAAACTAATTAGCCCTATCTATCAGTTTGTGGTGTGCGGTTCTAATGTGTGCTTTTTCTGTTGTTGTCATTATCCTCAATAGATCATTCAAATGTTGGATTCATGGCTTGCTAGAATAGATGATTTGTGAATCCAATGCGTTCTTTTGCTGTTGTTGTTAGGTTGTTAGTTCATCAAAGGCGGCTACTAAGTATACATACCGTGTTCATCTCGCCTGCCTTCTTAGGAAAAATCCTATACTCAAGGTAAGTTATTCTTTATTTACATTTAATTTGTTTCTTCCTGCTACTTGTACAATTTGCTACATAAATATTTTGACTCCTTTCCTGAATTTTAGATCCTATTTGCACCGTTACCTGCATTTTGTATTCAGAACCATCTGCTAATTAAGTGTAGAAAAAATGCTTGCGAGTTCTGTTTGTTGACTGTGTCGTGGTAGCTTCACGCATTTAGCTGTACATAACTGCCAAAGTAGGCAAACAAATGTAGGTCTGATTAAGTGATCAGCATGCATGCATGAGCTACTTACTGTTATTTAGAGATGCAGTCTGACAATAGTAACTTCATTTGCTCAGATGCTCACCGAATTGCGGAGAATGGCTCATTTTTCAGCCCAATTCTGACACATACCGTACCAGGCCAAAGTATTTTCCTTTTAGATTATTATTCCACAGCTCCATAATGCCCATCATCAGTAAGTTAATCAAGATAAGTTTGACATGCATGTACTGAACAAACAAATCTTCGAGAGCAACCAATTCTGTGAAACTTGCTGCTCTTTTCTGTGTCGTCTAAATGTATCTTGTATATGTGATTATCGAGTTTTTTCCCCTATACCAGGTATCATCTGAAGGGGCGACATACCCAATTCTCGGATTCCTCAAGCAACAGATGTAGTGTTGTCAATCTCTGAAGATGCGAATCCGTCTGCTCGTAGACAACGACAGAGGGATGATTGGGATACTAAAAGCCACAATGTATCGAGGCTTAGTGGAGTCAGTCACCAGCCTCTCCGTTGTTTGAACAACTGAACAACAACATCAAGCGGCGCCAAAACATGTGAGTTACTTTCATTTTGGGCATAGCCAACCTTATTGGTGGACTGACTCTCATTTTTCAGAATGTAACAAACTTCTCTCCTGTGTGAATTTTCAAAATATGTTACTGAACATTACAAAAAACACACACCCAAAACTCCAAAAACTAACATATCATTTTCTTGTGGATACCAGATTGCTGATCTGAGAGACATCCGAGACATGAATGAGGAAAAAATGAGAAGGTCGGCCATTGTTGGCTCAAGCTCAGGAGGTGGTCGAAAGCCTGGCTCCACATGGTCCTAGCACTACTGTCACACATGGTGTTCGGGCCACTTCCACCAGTGCTCTGCGGGTTGTCGTTCCGCGAGAGCAATGACGGGGAGAACAAGATGATGCGGTGCTTTGCTCGCCTGCATTGCGCTGCTTGCGCTCGGGACGTGCATGTCTACAGAAGAGCCATGACATACTTCAAGACTCTAATTTACTACCTGACCATCGCCGCGAGCTTGTCCGGGATATCGTACGTTGCCGATGTGCTGATCACGAGGCTTCTCAAACACTTTGGCACCATCGATCTAGGTGGTGCATTGGCTCCTCATGCTTCTCTAGGCCTGTTATTCTCTCATTTAGGTCATGCACATACGTCTGCCTAGGCCTCACTCTGAATGCTTAAGAGGCTGTTTGGTTTGTGACTAACTTTGCCAAAGATTGCCACACCTAAGGTTAGGCAAGTTTGGCCAACTTAGGTGAGTGTTTGGTTCAAGCCACACCTTAGGCAAGCCACACTTGTGCCCCACATGGCATACACACAAAAAGTGTGGCAAGATTCCCTTAGGCTTGCCAACTTGTGGCTCTCATTTTGATGAATTAACCTTAGGCAAGTTTGGCAAGAATGTGTGGCAAAGTATGGCAATGCTAGTCCTATAACCAAACAGCCCCTAAGTTCCTCGGAGCACTGATTGTATAAAAAGAGAAGACATGTGTGAATTCAAGAGAAAGTGCACGAAGAAACATCTGAATCTTTTTGAGTTGCTACATGTTGTTTTGTTGAAATTCTGGTGTACATACTATCATCAAAATGTGTGATCTTGGTCAGTCAAGTTCATCTGTATCGTGGAATATTACTATCAGTGGCGGAGCCAGGATTCGAGTATAGGAGGGGCCGAGTACGTATATTGATCTAATCTTGTTGGTAATTACTCTTGTCGATCGAT